TTGGCTTTTGAGTTGTGCATGTTTTCTATATATGGTAGGTATGTTATCTTTCAGATGTATACGTTGCTAACCTTTTCTACCATGTTCTAGCTTGCCACCTCACCCCAATACTTATTCCCTCTCCTGTGCAGAAGCTGCACATCCCAGTGCAATTCCACAATCCCACTTGCCCACCTGCCTTGTTCCAAGGACCTTTGGTGTCATGTAAGTCATCCCTGTCCATACCCAGTTCTGAATTTTCTTCTAGTAGTTTTATGCTTTTCCATCCTATGTCAAGATCTTTAATTCATTTAACTTAAGATAAAGTTCCACTTGTGCATGAAATAATTGGGTGTATGCTTTAGTACTTACTGACTTAATTGCCATTTCTACTTGCATAGAGGTAGAAAAAATAAACCCTCATGCTCCTTTTAGACCAATGCTTTGCCTAGAGTCTCAGGAGCCTGTTTCATCCAGAGTTTGAAATGATATGGTGAAGATGTTCAACAACCATTGACTCTCTACAACATCAGGATCCAGGTCTGACTCCAGAGTCTGCAACATCAGATAACAGATAAGAGTTCATCTTGAGAGACTGAGGGGCATTGTGTCTTAGACTTAATGCATGAAAATGCTGTTTCTTTTCTTCCTTTTTTTACATTAAAAACCAAACCTTATTCAAATGTAAGTACAAAATCCAAGCAGTAACAGGAAAAATAGCATGGTCCTCCTCATTCTCACCAGCTTCAATCAAAGGCAGCCACCAAACACAAGAAACAAAGTTTGTCATGACTAAGCTGTGAGAACAAAAATATCAAGAAAACCTTGAGGACAAATCCCTCTCCTTTATCAATGTAGATCATTTCTAACTGCAGGGCTTCTCTCATATACTTCTCTGCACATACACCACCATATACACAGAGAGACAGGCATGCAGATACACAGAGATATGACACAGAGACAGAAACAGACACACACACTCACACACACACACACACACACACACACTCAGCTCCTATTGTATTTTTCATCCCCTAGGAAACCCACATCCATGAAGATGCTCCCTCTGCTCACCACCCTTCTCCTGCTGGCTCTCCAGACACAGGCAGAATCTCCCCAAGGAAGAGCTGAAGAGGATCCAGACAGGGAGCAGCTGGTCAAGGAAGACCGGGATATTTCCATATCCTTTGGAGGAGATAAAAGCACTGCTCTACAAGATGAAGGTGAGAGAAATCATCATGCTAGAGACACGGAGTAGAGAGAAGGGGTAGAGGTAAGCTCTTAATTTGGGTCACCCAGGTGACTTTATTATTTGTATTCTCCTCATTGAACAGCATGAGCCAAATAGATCAATTTCTTTCTGCAAAGATTTGTTCGTGAATGCC